AAGGGGAGGGGGTATTTATCGAGCGGTTATTATTCAAGGAAATACGACACTCGAGTCTTATGAGCGAAACAAAGACATTTTTCCTTTCAAATTCCTGTTTACAAATATTCTCTCATAACTTAGTTAAGAAATTATATCTATCGAAAATTTACAATATTAACAAATTAAAGAACTATAAATTGCATTCTATAAAAAGCAGTCGCCCAGTTAAACCCACCAGCTAAATTCCCTCGTTATTATTTTAAGATATATTACAATTTATAATTTAGGGCACGCACTGGCGTTTAAACATAAAAATTTTCCTGCGAGGTGCGAGTTGAGCGTTCCAATTTGGACCCTTGTAGTACATCTGTCTAACAGTTTTCTTCATAGCATTCAGCGTTATTTAGAAATATCTTAATATATAAAAATTGACGATCTGGTTTATGCGCTTATCGTGCCTGTAGAAATTGTATTCTGGTAAAAGAAAAGTTATGTTGGATTTGTTTCCATCGAGTATTGACAAAAATCCATTCTTGTATCTTGTTTCTAACACTCATACTCCCTAGCTATGAAACCAAACCTAAAATGCAAATATTTCCCCCTGATAAATTCCACCCATCAATCAATGCCCTGAGTCAGGAACCATTACTTGAGAATCATTAATCTTGCTGAACGCCTACGACTGAAAAAAAGCGCGCACAAGAATTTAACCCACTCCGCCATCTTGGATTTAATGACATCATTAGCTTAGGTTATTAATAAATCCAACACGTGGTAGTCACGAGTCACAAAGTCAGCAGTAGTGACCACGAAAACTACTGTGTGTCGAGGTTACAGATATTTAGTGAGAAACGCCAAGCGACCAGGAGTTCCCTGTGTTACAGTGTTAAGAAATGAATGATTGTGGTCGGTTATGGGAGATGTTGTTGGTATGTGACCAAGACAATGTCTCCTTCGCCGACTGGAGGCTACAAAAGCAATGTTTATGTGGCTATAAGATTACCTTTCCTGCTGTATATGTACTGGAGTATGTGTGACCAGGTTCTCTCTCGAAGGTGTTCTCTTAAGGGAACATGTGTAACTGAATTCCCTATAAAAAAGGTTTCCTTACGGGAATACGAATGTGACCAGGGCCATGATACGGTGTTCCCCATGGAAAGTGTTCCCTTACTAGAGGATGTGTTTGACCGTGGCCATGATTCAGTGTTCCCCATGGAATGTGTTCCCTTGTAGGAATACGAGTGTGACTGGGGGCATGATTCAGTGTTCCTACGGAAATTGCTCCCTTACTAGAGGAAGTGTGAACAGTGATTCAGTCTTCCCTTACTAGAGGATGTATGTGACCGCGGCCATGATTCAGTATTCCCCATGGACAGTGTTCTCTTACTGGAGGATGGACATTGTATTGTTACTAGGGTCATGATTCAGTGTTCCCTTTAAGAGATATCCCCTACTAACTGAAGGTCTGTGTGGTTAGAACCGTGCCTCAGTGTTTGTGTGTAGCACTTACGAAAGGCATCCCCGAGGCGATCAACTGTACAATTCACAAGTAATCTATAAATCTCCCATTAAAAATTTTCAGTAACCTAGGTATTAACTACCAACATTAATGCAAAAATAACTATTCATGTCCTTTTCGTTCGCACATTTCTAAAGCGCTGACACCGCATCGCCCATAGTCTACCTAGCCTACTACGTAGAACAGACAGTAACAACTAAAACCTCCCTTGTGTGCCGTGCGCTTGCACATGTGTCATTCCCGGGGGTGTTGTTCAAGAGCTCAGAAGGTTTCCATGGTAGATTCTCGATCAACGAGCCTGTCTCGGATGATTTGTTTATCCTTGAGATGACCTCACAGAGCTTCTGCCAGCTTCCATGATGCTAAGTTCCATTCTAGAATCAAAACAGACAAAAATTAAGAATTGTGGTCAGACGTTGATATTGTGTGAGAGTTTGGTGATGACATACGTACATTAAAAATAATTCTTTTTTAGAACTACAACACATGTAAAATAACCTTACACACAAAGAAAACCTTGAAATAATTATAACTGCACAGAGGTAAAATAAGGCTTTTCATTTATTACTGTCTCATTAAACAAGGCTTGTCATTAATTACTTTATCTAAATTTATTTAGTAATCTGGTGTTTCTTGAGAGGGAACCTAAGCTTACAAGCCCCGTGGTTTTTGTTAGGTTCCTTCACTATTTTATTTTCTATCCTTTAATACATAAGTTGTAGTTTTGCATCTTCATTGTAATCTTGAATATTAATTTTTTAGTCATTTATTAATAATTTTACTCTAAGTCTATTTTTGTTTGTGTGGCAAATCTAAAAAAACAAACAAAAAATCCCATCCTGATAACAGATTATGGCTGACTAAGGCTATGTTCACACTTAGTGCCGAGTATGGTGCCCAAGAACGATTCTCGCTGGGCACTAGTGTGAACACACCTTTTCTGCAAGTACTCGGACCAGAATTCAGGCACAGTATCCTGCCCAGGTACAAGATCGCGACCTTGTCCTTGAGTACTAAATGGCACTTGCATTCTTTGAGTACCCAATGTCTGAATGCAATACTACTTTGTGTCAGTGCTCAGGCATCAAGTGTGAACACAGCCTAAGAAAAAGGAGCTTACATGTTCGTTTCCCTTGGTAAATGAGTTAGTAAAAGTGCTAACGGCTCGGAGCATTAAAACATTAGAAACAACTGTTTTCAATTGAATATACAGTTTCATAGAAACGTTAAAACTCTCAACTGGCAGGAGACGAACCCTCAGATGGGGAAAAAAAAACATCACTTCTTACTTTAGTACTTTGGGAAGTGGCGTCTGATCCAGTTTGTACTGAATGACAGCAAGTTTACACAATGTCCGAAGAGATGGCTCTGTAAAATAAAGAAAAAAAATGAATTTTTCATCAATGCAAAGCAGTGCAATGGATGCCCTGGAATAAAAGCAGAACCAATCGTGGCTTGCTTACATACATGTACATGTAGTTTTTCGTGCTTTGCGCCAGCTACATGTATTTGCTTCGAGTCTTGATTGGTTNCTTGAATATTAATTTTTTAGTCATTTATTAATCATTTTACTCTAAGTCTCTTTTTGTTTGTGTGGCAAATCTAAAAAAACAAACAAAAAATCCGATCCTGATAACAGATTATGGTTGACTAAGGTTATGTTCACACTTAGTGCCGAGTATGGTGCCCCAGAATGATTCTCGCTGGGCGCTAGTGTGAACACACCTTTTCGGCAAGTACTCAGACCAGAATTCAGGCACAGTATCCTGCCGAGGTACAAGATTGCGACCTTGTCCTTGAGCACTTAATGGCACTTGCATTCTTTGAGTACCCAATCTCTGAATGCAATACTACTTTGTGCCAGTGCTCAGGCATCAAGTGTGAACACAGCCTAAGAAAAAGGAGCTTACATGTTCGTTTCCCTTGGTAAATGAGTTAGTAAAAGTGCTAACGGCTCGGAGCATTAAAACATTAGAAACAACTGTTTTCAATTGAATATACAGTTTCATAGAAACGTTAAAACTCTCAACTGGCAGGAGACGAACCCTCAGATGGGGAAAAAAAAACATCACTTCTTACTTTAGTACTTTGGGAAGTGGCGTCTGATCCAGTTTGTACTGAATGACAGCAAGTTTACACAATGTCCGAAGAGATGGCTCTGTAAAATAAAGAAAAAAAATGAATTTTTCATCAATGCAAAGCAGTGCAATGGATGCCCTGGAATAAAAGCAGAACCAATCGTGGCTTGCTTACATACATGTACATGTAGTTTTTCGTGCTTTGCGCCAGCTACATGTATTTGCTTCGAGTCTTGATTGGTTCACTGCATTGTGTACATGTAATTTGTGTTTAGCCAGAGCGATTTATTCAGTTTGTGTTTAGAAACAATAAATTGAAATCTGCCCTAAATAACAGTTTATTCCAGAACATACTAATGCCTCCACAGACAAATCTGGGAATGAGTGGTGCCCAATGGGGTTATCACTGTGAGTTGTAAGCTTTGGTTTCTGAAATATGAGGTAGAAAGGAGTATCCCTACTTCTTCCCTCCCCCCCCTCCCCACCCTTACTCCCTGGATGGGATGCTAGTCCATAGCAGACTACCCCTCTCCTACATTTTATCATGTCTCCTCAACAATTCACTGGTACTCAGATTTGTTCTCGACAAGGGTAGAGAGAGACACTGCCCTAGAACTGGCACAACACAACGAGTCCGGTGGGAAAAGAACCAAGACTTGTCGACCCAAGAACCACTAAATTAACCAGTCGGCCAACATGCATCTCACAGGGAGAAATTAAACCTCAATCTAACTAGTTGGACTAATAACAGTACATGTACATAACTGCTTCTCTACTTACCAAGATCTAAGATGTACAAATCTGAGTGATCTTGAAGGTTGTACTCGTCGTCCATTGGAGCTCCAGCTACAGGACTAACCATGAATAAAAACAAACAAAAACTGAGTACAGCGAGTCTGGAGACGTTACAGAAGTCGCACCCTGTTACCATGGTTATAGGATCTCAGAAGCGAATGAACAAACAAGAAGAATAATAGAGCGTTAAAAATGTAGAGTTAAGGAGAATGCATGTTGCTTTTATTTTCACTGCTACATGCTAAGTGACTGGGACCAGCAAGATGAACAACCTGATATCATTTACAACAGGGTGTAAACTGCACACATGTATTGTGTATTGAGCAAATCCATATCTTTAGGGTAAAATATGTGTAGGAAATGGAAGAAATAGAAATAGAAAAGAAGAAATAGACTAGGGTAGAGCCGGTTTGTTTCAGTCATGCGCACCAAACAGCAAACCTACCTTGTGCCGCCAAATATCATCAGCTTTGTTCCTATAAGACAACAGCAATGTCTTCTCCGCGGGCATGCGCCATGACCTGAGATGTCCAACTTTCTCCAAACGTTGGCATCTAAAATGGGTGTGCAAATACACGTTAAGTGAGTTACTGCTCTTGCTGTATGAGGAAGGTCTGAGAATCAGCCTGAAAAATTCTTACTGATGACGTAAACATGTGCTTCTTACTGATTGTCACTAGTATGTAAAAATTCATAGCTTAGCAACAACCCATCAGACACCAGCACAACACCATAAAGCCATGTCATCAGTGAGGAATGCTTTGAGAGATGTTTCAAATGTCTTCGTCAATTTTCGGAAGCCAGTTTACTAATTTGATCTGAAAAGTTACTTGCTGGTCCAGATTGTTTGTACAGTGTGTAGCGTTGGTAAAATCATACCTGTGTCTAAACTATACACCTCTCCATGATGCTTTCTTTCAAGTCCATTGTAACCACCAAAAACATAGATGTGCTTGCCGTAACAGACTGTAAAGATTCAAGCAAGTAGCAATCAGATTAAATGAACATGTAAGACATGTAATCTATTCGACAAAGCTTTTTTAAGCAATCAAATGAAACAGATAGAGTGTACATGCACAGATTAAAGTTGATCCGATACACTTGAAAATCATCAGCATCAATCAACCACTATTGTTACACTGCAGGATGAGTACTGCTCCTTTCGGCGAGGGGGGAGGGGTATTCCCAGAAAAATTGGGTAGGGGTGTGCAGCCCACTTCCCAAAACCCTTACCCTATTTATGACCAAAATCTGCGATTTTCCCTACCCTATTTATGACCTGACCAAAAATTCGAAACCCTATTTATGACCTGACCCCTAAATCAAAACCCTGTTTCAGACCTGCATTATAATTAGTTCCCTAGTTCAGACCAATGTTAAATTACCGTAAACATAATTTGTGAAGGGCCTTAGTTGATTTCCTTTTCAATAATGATGAAAAAGTGGCTTCTTCTTAAAAACATACCCATATCAAGGCTAGAGTGCAAAAACCATACTCTGTTTATGACAAAAAAACAGCTGGAAAAAACCATACCCTTTATGACTGCACAAATAAGTGAGAACCCCCCTCCCCCCCTGGTACTCCTCTAGGGAGTGAGGCTCATCACAGGTTACCCCTGCAGCACTTTTTCAAGATTTAAGTAACATATTCTTGGGTGGAGAGGGATAACAGTCTCTTTTCAAGAACACAGTGACTCTTACCAACAAACTCCTCTATAAATTCATTCATCTACACATATCAACTTGAAGTTAACCAAGGTAAGTTAGCTGCTCTAGCGAGTTTCTGAAGCTCACATTTTAAGCTTTAGCCCTTCATGACAGCTCTGGCAAAGGGCAAACTCTTGAAATGGCAGTTAATATAATACGCCCCTTGCTGATAGGCCATCACATCACCCACATTGTACTTTTCATGAAACTATGGGCCATAACTTAAAGAATACCAGAAATGGAAAAAGTATGCCGAAAATATCAAAATGGCCAAGTTTGAGGCCTCTGGCATTAAAGAACAAGATTTTATGATGGTTTGAATTTTTAAATAATTAAGAAGATTTGTGTGGAAAAAGTTGTTGGAGAGCAAGACCTTGGTTTCCAGCAACATTTTCCATAGATACGTGTACCCTCTAAATTTTCTGAAAATTTAAACTGTTGTTTAAACTTACACTTAAATGCAAAGGGCGTAAAACTTGTCCGTTTTGCTATTTTCGATATGCTCTTTCCATTTCTATCATTCTTTAAGTTATAGCCCATAATATAGAAAAATTTTGTCAAAACATTTTGTCAAATGACCCCAGCTGCAAAGGGCCCATTACTGATAAATAGCTAAGTGTTTCATTTGCCCACCAGCTCATCCCAACAGTTTCTTTTAGAAACTAATAACTTTGTTCTTTTGATCAGTTTTACTTTGGCAAACTAAGCATAAGGCCACCGTACCTCCCTGCACAAATTATGAGAAAATGTTATAGATTTCAAGGGGAATTAAGGTCACACCCAGGTTGTCAACAATGACTAACCTGCTGAGTGGCTGCGTCGTCCAACAGGCAAATCTCCTGATGTTTTAAGCTTAAACCAACAGTTTTTAACTACAAGGAAAAAGATAATAATAATTTATTGATGACATCAGAAGAGAGACCACAACATTTAATAAAGGGTTTTGGTGAAACACAGTACTAAACCAACTCGACCCAACCTTCATGGAAAGATATTGAACTGCATGTAACTGTTGTATACAAAGTAAATCTTGGGTTTTAGAGGCCAAAAATCCTTTAGAAGAACCAGTGGCAGGGGTAAAAAACACAAAAATGAGTGCATCAAGGTTATGGTTCAATATACATGAAGTATGTTATGGTGAAGGTTTACGGTAGAAAGTGAAAGGTTACAGTTACATTTCAGGGTTAGGAACCTTGGTTAGCCTGGTTAAGGATACAGTAAGTGTTAACATATGCTACTGAATGAAAGGGATGTGGGCTTGTGTAGGGCTGTGGGGCGAGGTTTTTACTTTGTATTTGTCACAAATTTCTTGATTTCACTTACTAGAAAAGGAAACCCTCTGGTGAGCAAGCTTTACAAAAACCTTCTCTCCATCATAAATATTCCTACCTTTATACCTCCCCCCTGAAAATTTCCAGTAATTCTTATGTGGAAGGAGGGGATGAATACCTTTTGAATCAACTGTATGTAAATACTTTACATACATACCTGTATCAAACACTCTAACTGAATTGGAATAAACTTCCTGTCCTGAATGATACTGACCCATTCTATCACCTAGAAGACAACATGACAGATCAACATCCAGAATCTCTTTACAATATCAATAAAATGTTAACCACACAAGTGAGGAGAAACAACAAAATCGTTGACCATCTTGAGGATATTGTCAGGCTTGATGTTTAACCATGTTGAAATATAGTTTGATCACTACAGTTTGTACATCATGACATGCAACTACATGTACATGAAGATAAGCTGTCCATAGTAGCACTTCACATTCTCTCAGACTTTCATTATTGGTGGTGTAAACAGCATATTAGAAAGAACATATGTAATGTTAATTTAAATAAAACACCATATCGTATTGTATCATATCTTATCATATAAATCTACACATATTCCTGGCAAACCAACCTCGTCCTCCAAATATGTACATGTTTGTGCCAACAGCAGTCGCAGAATGGAAGTCTCTCCACTTGGCTGGTTTTCCCTAAAAACAATAAAACAAAATCATATTACCATGGACTGGTCACAGGAATTACCATTTAAACTTCTCTGGAGTGTGAAAGAGGGTTTACTGTTGCCCAGTAAAGCCCTGATGCTGAGATCACAACATAAATACAGTTGAAACCTGCTATTTTGAACTCTCTGTGGAAACAAAAAATAGTTTGAAATAAGTTCAAAATAGCCGATAGCAATGACTGAAAAGGCAAATCAAAGGGAAATGGTTGTGAGTTCAAAATAACAGGGAATTGAAAAAACTAAACATTTCGAAGTAGCAGGGTCCAACTGTTCAATATTATCAAAACAGTCTTCAAAATACTTACTGTTACTCTGGGTTTGTGCCACGTTAATGTTTGTGTGTCCAGATATTCAACAGAATTTGAGAAGCATTCCCCCTACACAATAATAACAGATGCGAAAATAACTTCAATTACAGTATTACTAAAGGTTCTTGATAGCACAAGTGTTGTAAATATTTTTAAAAACACAACAACGCTTTTCAGTTTTCAGAACATGTTTCAATGTTTCAAACATCATCNTACAAACTTATTTAAACTAACCAATAAAAATTTTGAAAAGAACAATAGTGAAAAACCACTAAGCTGAAATAGATACATTTAAAAGTGAAACGATAAATTGACATGCTCAACTTGTTTGTTGAGTTCTGGATGTAACCGATCAATATGAAAACTCTCCTTGATTTTAAGTTGTGAGAAAGTCTTAGCAAAATCAATAATTTTAAAACTGGAGGCATCACAATTGTCTCAACATTGCTTAGAACAATTGAGATGTTTAAAAACATGGGAATTTTTGTAAACCTTATATATTCATTATAGCTGATGATGATGTTTGAAACATCGAAACATGTTCCGAAAACTGAAAAGCGTTGTTGTGTTTTTAAAAATAATTACAGTATTGTACATGTAAACCAACACTCTTTCACAGATATTAACAACCAAAGAACACAACCAACAATAGGAGCTGTCATTCACCACTTTAGAAACGAGAAGAAATCTGACGTGGGTCAAATCTCATTGTCATTTGTGAGATCGTTCCTGGGGACAATCTGCTTTCTCATCTATTGTTTTGTCCACAGTAACCACGAGTGATTAAATGACATGAGGCTACCCTGAGTACCCTCACTCAAGTCGTGTCAGTAGAGAAACTTAGACTACAAGAGTTTCATCACGCAGTAACCAATCTCTCACCTCAGAAGTCGAGTTAACTTTACAATGTACATGTAGGAAAACAGTGAACTTTCTATACAATGTACATGTAATACTAATCTTCCAAAACTGACTTTGACATATATTTTATTCCACCATCACTTGTGCACAAAGAAACCCTGAATGTGTTGGATCTGTTATATGTACAATATATTATAAAGAACTAAACATTAATATTTAATATTTTTACCTCTTCTTCATATCCACCAAAGATATATATCCTAGATTCAATAACACAAGCTGAATGCCCATCTCTCGCAGCAGGTGGTTTTCCTTGAACTTTAGGTTTGGACCATGTTAAACTCTCTGATAATAATGAAAAAAACATTTACCTCACCAGTCAGTTACGCCATTCATTACTGGTACAGCCCCTCCAGTAAGAAAAATCCTGGATCCACCCCTGATAGTATTAGGCCACTTGGCTACACCTTGTTGACTATTTGCTCAGAGAAAACTTGGGCCCATGGTCTAATTGTTAGAATACATAATTGTTTAACATAGTTAACACCTCACCTGTATCAAAACAGTATAAAATATTACAAGCACCATGGGTATCATTCCTGCCACCAAATATGTATACCAAATCACCAATGGCTGACGCACTGTGACCATACCTCATGTACGGAACACAGTCGTTGCATGCGCAAGATACAGGGGGAAGCTTCATCCAGCGGCATGGAACTGTAAGAAAATTAGAAAATCTAAATATCTCTTATTGCAATTGTCTCATGTGGGGAAATTTAACTCAAGCAGCCCTGGCCCTGGCCAGGGACACTGTGTTGTGTTGATTTTGGGCAAGACATACACCCAGGTGTATATTAAAGGATTACCAGCAAACTGTTAGGGCAACCTGATAAAAGAGACTGACTTGTACTGGACTACCCTGCAGGACAGAGATTCTACGACATCTCTTTCTGCTCAATGAGAGACGAGAGGGAACCTCTGCTCACAATCACTTACATTCCCATTGTGTATGCACGAAGTGCATCACAGTGTCACATATTCTGTTATTCATCGAGCAAAAGTTTGAATTTGACGAATGTGTGTGCAGTGTTGACAATTTTAACCATTACAGGTCAGCAGATACTTTTAGCAGTCTCCCAAAGGTTTAATATGACCCATTTGAATCAACAGAAAATGAGTCACAAGAGCATGAATGTTAATGTGATCAAGAAAGACTGATGAGAAACTATGAACACGATGTTGATCAGTTCATGACACAAAATGTTATCAGATGTTTGAAAAGTACGGTGGCCTTATGGTTAGTGCACAACACTCCAGACTGAGTTGCCCCAGTAGCAGCCCTGACCACTGGGTCACTGCACTGTGTTCGTGGGCAAGAAACTGTAAATCCCATCCAGGGAGGTGTAGAAATACTCCTCATCACTATGGAAATGGGAAATAAGCATCAGCTGATGGGCTAGTAGGTCTGAATACAGACTTAACCCACTCGTAACAGGAGATAATTGGGAGCTACACATAGCTGAAATACAAGCATTATATTGTATGCATATTATATTGCAAGCGAGGGCCATCTTAGTTTAAGAAGACAAGCAAAGCTACTGGAGTGAGTGGAAAAAAGAAACCTTGACATAGAGGGTTGAAACTTGAAGATACAAAAACCCTGTGCGCAACAGGTTAACAAAAACCATGTTGATGAGAGCATGTTTCTGCTGCACACAAACTATTCACAAAACATGTATATGCAAATGTAAGTTCACAGAAATTTTCCTGACATCATGAAAATTTTGAGTAAGAAGATTTGTACAGATAAGCTCTCTTCTAATCCACACAGAAACTTCTTTAGTTAAATTAGAATACAATCTCATTCTTAGAGAAGATTGGTAAAAAAATAGTATTCTACGCTAACTGTTAAAAATACTTAAAATTGTATCTATTTAACAAAAATCTTCATAAATTGTCTAGCTTGAATGCTAATTGTATAATTACTTGTCGGTCGACTGTCCTCACCAATATAGTGCTTTACAAAATACATAAAAAGCTCATTATCACACTCTGAACTATCCAATATTATGTGTCCCATGCAAGTTGAAAAGAAAGTGACTTGCCTTTAAAGCTGTGCTACAGTTAAGTCCCCCACTATTACCCTTTGAGCATAAATTTCCAATAACCTTTTTCTCAAAATTCAAAATTACCAAGTTTATTTTTTTTTACACAATGGCAGTAAGTAGACGGGAGATTGTTGCAGCAAACTAATATCAAAAGAAACATATAGCGGTAATTAACGATAATTGCTATGAGCTTGAATCTAAACGAAAACAACTGAATTCATGTACCGTGTACATTTACGTGTAGTATTCTAGATAGCTCACACGCAATGATAAAATAGAACTACACCTGACTATGTAGAGTGAGACGTTAAGACTAATAGAGGCGAAGTTTATAACTGTTTTCCCTTTTGTCAAGCTTGTAATGTTATTTTTAGCACAGAAACAATAACAATCTTCCCACTGGCTTGTGGCAACATGATTTATTCATCACAAATACTGGAAAATTAGAATTCTTCCCCATAAACAACCTCCATGCATGCATGTGTTTTCTCCATCTTGCGTATTTAGTTTTGAAGAAGATTACGATTTAGGAAACGGTGTACCCATTTATGAATTTAGTGCAAAGATTAAATTTTTGCCAGCTAAGCAGATGCTTTTCACTGTCAAATAGCTGGCACGCATCGAGGCGAAAACAACGCATTTCCGGTCTGATATCTGTTGTTCCACCTTTAAAGACCTTCGAACACAAGCACGTTCAAAACTTCGACGGCGCTCATAATATGCACACTTTGCGTAGAATTTATATAAATCCAAACCCACTTTTCAAAAACTTACCTGTATCGAAAACGTGGACATCAATGTTGACTATTTGGTTATATTCTTCTCCAGTGCAGTAACCACCAAAACTAAAGATGAAGCGATTTCGAACGCTCACTGCAGCATGATTTACTCGCCTAGGGCCACCTTCAACTTCTTGAGTCCATCTTATGGCCATAACTGAATAATCTTAATCTTAAACGTACCTTTAAAGAATCTCTAAAAACTGAACAAGCTAAAATCACTTCAACTAAAAGAGCCACTGCGTGAAAAGGTAAGTGGACCGAGCAGAAAAATATCCCACGATTTGAGAATATTATATGGCAGGACTGGTCAGCGGAGTAAGATAATCAGCAGTTGTAGTTGACATATCATGTAAGATGGAAACAAACAGTCTACATTTAGCGTTGAGCTCCAGCACTTTTCAGCACTTTTACTATTCAGTACTCCCACTTTTTTTCAGTTGATACTATTATAATGGCATCAAACGAATGCCCAATCATTAGCAATCAGGTTATGGTCATTTTCCTGATGCAAAGGTTACCATAACAACAGCACAAGACGCTCAGAACACCCTTAAGTTTAGCTTTTAGTGCTTATAACTCATAAACGCTTTCGGTCCTGAGTGGCCTATTGTTGTCTGAAATTGTGGTTAGCATGTTAAGAGCCACTTAAGTCGCTCGAAAATTTAAGGTGACAAATTGTCAGGATTCAATATCGGCTGATTTTTCGCTTGGCCTACCAGCGGTCTTGTCGGCCAAGAAACGTTTTCTCGTGGTATACTTCATTACCTGCAATATCCTACGAGTCACTTGTAATTGTATTTTCTCGGTACATGAGCCTTTCCTTTACGCGAGTTTATATACCAAGAAAATACTACTGACAAGTGGAGTATTTCATGGCATACCACGAGAAAGTGCTGCATAACTCAGTTTATACCACGCCACAAAAATACAGCTGTCGTGTATTCTGATTGGCTGTATTTTCTGTGGCATGGTAGAAAAGGTCATATTCCAGCCGGGATTTTGCGGGATAATCGCTGATAAACCACACGGGAGGTTTAACTGAGCCGAGTTCTTACAGTAATAGGATTCATTAGCGGTTTCCACACGGGATTCCACTTTTTAAATCTTGCCTGACTTAACACTTTAAATTACTGAGATCGCATGCCCCCGGAGCTAATGAAGTTAAGGGCAACCGTTGTTGCCTTTGCATGCAAAAGTGAGTGACAAGATCTAGAGTTTGCTCCTGCATGGGACAACTCCAGGAGTTATTCTTTTATCATGATTATCTGGTGGCTGAAAGCCCGATCCCAAAGCTATTCTCCCTTTTTTCTTCTTTCACCCCTTGATGCAAAAAAGCCTTTGTGGCTGCTCAGATTTGACTGAGATACAGAAAACTGAAAATCTCTGCAGCCTGATCAGGTGAATCAAAATCGCGACCGAAACCTAGTGTTTCAGATCAAAAGCCAACCGTCACTTAGTTCTGTAGTTTATCGGCTTATTTATCAGTTGCAGTAGCAACTGAACCGTATTTCGTTTACTACTATGATAAAAGGAACGGTCACATACCTGATTGCTGCCATATTGGGGGACCAGAGTATCCCAATCCCGTTAGCCTCTTGCAGGCGTTCAGTTAGTTGGGGCACCGCGTAAAAACGGCAGAGCGAAATAGAGAGCGCTGTGCTCCAACTAATTGAACGCCGGCATCGTATAAAAATTCAGTTTCAAAAACTAACAATTTTCCTACTCGATATCCCAGAAAATCTGTTCTAAATATCCCTTATCCCATTAATTTTTCCCCAGCTATATCTAGATATCCCGTATTCCAAAAATCCCTAATAGGGCCTTTATACTGACTTTCATTGCTATATAGCGCGGTCTCGCCAGCTGTGTTGTAATATCCTGTCTTGGTTATTATAACTTGATATGATAAGGTCGGTAACAAGAACCGAGGTGGTTTAATTATTGGATTATAATCTGACAAATGTGTTTAGCTTTCAATATTGTTAAATACTTGTTATAATAAATATCTTGTTCTAATATTATCATGGATTAAGTTGTCTACAACTGAAGTTCCGTTATATAAATGTTGAACACCTCTCTAAGAACTCGAGCTGATCCTGAACTTGACAGCTTTTGTAGAGATCCGAGGGAGTACTCTCAGAAAAATTGGGTGGGGGTGTGCGGCCCGCTTTCCAAAACTCTTAGCCTGTTTAAGACCAAAATGTCAGTGCGATTTTCCCAACCCTATTTATGACCTATGGCCTTAGGTGTCCTGCGGGGCACGATGAGGAATGAGATTTATGACCTGACCAAAATTTCGATTCCCTATTGAAGACCTGACCCTTAAATCAATACCCTATTTCAGACCTGCTTTACTTGAATTACTTCTATAGTTCAGACCAATGTTGAAGTCAATGTTCATATTTCTTATTAGGTAGGATGGCGCGCGTCCTCTAAAAAACATACCCAATTCAAGACTGGAGCGCAAAAACCATACCCTATTTATGACCAAAATGGCCAAAATCGATACCCTAACGGCTAACTGAAAACTATACCCTTTGGGACCGCACATACCTATATAGCCCATAAAGGAGTCCTTCCCCCACCCCCCGCCTCCGAGCTGATCACCTCAACCGTTACGTTGAAACAACACGTGTTTGAGCCACCTACTGTAGAACTTTCTTTGAGTGACTACCTTGGAAAGGTAGTCACGAGAATGGACAGAATGAAACCTTGTTATAATTAACGACCATCCGCTGAAAAGGTAGGTCGCTAACGAGAGCGAGAGCTTTCACATGCCAAAGAAATTACGAAGACAGTGTTCTGATAAAACATTACAAAGTTCCCCTACTCCACTGAACAGACATTTTAAACCCATTTTCCAACGAGGACGCTATTAGTCTAATGATCTCCCTGTTACCAATAAGCGTCCCGTTCTGAAAAAAGTTCCCATTTCCTCATAAATACTCGTGTTCTATATATAACAAGCGTGGCTATTCTACCTAGAGTAGATAGAGTTTCAATTCTAATAAGCGCCCGTATTCAAGATAAGACTGATGAGCGCTCCTATTATATTCTAGCACGCGTGGCTAAGAGTGACCGTCTAAATCAGAATGGTTACACCCTTTTGCGTGGCTGAGATGCACGGCAAGTCCGATCACAGAACAGAGATCCGATGGCCTCGCACTGATTATGGGAGGCCTAATAGAATAAAGGTAATTCAGTTAAGATCACTAGCGGCTCGGTAGAGGAATTCCATTTTTGTTTTTACGAATTTTTAATCCTGCTCAGAAGACGATCTCATGAACGCGTTTAGAAAAATATTATTTTAAGAAAT